ATTATGTTTACAAACTTCTGGGGCATACCCTGTTGAGCAAGTGTAGTTAACAGAACTGATCGATCAACAGAATCGAACGCACTCTTGAAGCCACGGAATAGCAGGATTGTGGTCACTTGAGCACTGATACATTATTGTACATTACTGGATAACAACACTATCGGCGCTTCAAAATAATCCACTTGGCACTTCTGATCATGCAATTCTGGCGGGTCTATTTTCGTGTTGGATCACTAGCTGAACCAAGAAAATACGCGTTTGCATACTTGTTGTGTTTACAGACGGGATACTGTCACCGTGGTGTGTGGTTTACACACGCGCAGAGAGCTGCTTGCTATTCGTCACTGACTTCAAAGTTCTGGTTCCTCGGGCATCTGTAACAAGTGAGCATCTATAGAGTTGGGGGTAACGAGTAGAATTTTAGTCCAATTAGTAAGTAAGCGGAACTAAATCCGAGAAAAAGATCCACCCTTTTTTGAATGTGGCACTGCTAAGCCGTAAGTAAGGGGCGAGATGGTCCAAGTGGTTAGAGATCGAATTAGTAAGTAAGCGGAACTAAAACCGAGAAAGAGAACCACCCTTTTTTGAATGTTGCACTGCTAAGCAGTAAGTAAGGGGCGAGATGGCCCAAGTGGTTAGAGCGCGACCGGATGGTCCGTGGGTCGAACCCGACCTTTGCCTCTCGACTTCCTCTTTATAGATTTGGGCAACCTGGCAGTATCCCAGCCCTCGTGCTTCTTTCGGGTGGCAAGGCAGCTAGGCGCCGGAAGGGTATTACAGCTGAACGGTTTTTTAAGCAGTAAGTAGAATTTTTCTATCCAGATTGAAGTTGTACGCCTCCGGAAAGTGGAAGACTGTTAGGGTACAAGAAGATAACAAACACGAGTAACTAAGGACGAATACCTACAGATGTTTTCTCCCCTTCTACGCCAGAAGCCTTGGAAACTGTCACATACTTCTGCTAAAGAATTCTCCAAAGTTCACAGTGAAATCAGATACACCGACTTCACTCCTCTCCGGAATTGGAACGCAAAGTTCGAACCTCTTATGTCACTTGTGTTCAAATGTTTTTGACGGTGAAGAGGATAAAATATCGAACGACAGTACGAGTTATTGGAAACGAGAAACTTCACTTTATTCAGTTGAATATTTTTACTTTTGATGGTTTCAGTACGGAGAAAATCGTTTTCTACCAAAGGACAGTAGACGGATCGTTCTGAACAGTGCGAGAACGTTCTTCCAAAACAGCGCCTTCGATAACCGCTGAGGCCATCAGGCCTTCGAACTGTATGGTTCCACATGGACTGAACACATTGTACCTTGTACTTTATGAATAAAGTGCTAAGTTTAGAATCTAGTTAGAATCTAGCTATCTAGAATAACGCTCCAACTGAAACTAGGTGGCCTACTTAAGTACATTCGATCGAAGCGGAGATTCAGTTGAATTAAGTCGAGTTTTTTCTGTCAAATCAAATTGGCACGAAAATGAGAGTACTCATCGAAATCTGTCCAATTTGGATTCATGTACAACGTAAGATGGACGGAAACTCTGATGAGTCTCTGGATGTGGAAACCGGTCGTCTGGTACCAAAGTGCTTTCAGCAATATGCACCCGGAACCCAGCTGAATCTCTTGCTTATGATGTTTCTAAGCAACTGAATGTGCTGCCCCAGGCCGCCTCACGTTTCAGTCGACAAGGTATCCGAGATATCGCGGTACATGTATACGCGCCATTCTTTATTTGTAAGATTGCTGAAAACTGTTTGACTGTCCACGACCGGTTTCACCCCTCTACAGCCTCATCAGGTAGGCGCAATCCCCGAGTTTCCACCGTCATTCTTATGTTCTACTTGAACCCAAATTCCACGAAATTAGTGCGAACTATGCTCATATGCCTATCAATTTGGTTTTGACGGGATACTCACCTGAAACCCAGTTGAATCTCTCGTTTATGGTGTTTTTAAACAGCATAAACCAATCCGTCCTAAATTGGTCCGCTTAGAAAAATCTGTTGACCGTAGGGTGCAAATCAGGAAGTTATACTTTTCTGCACGTGTACACTCGATTGCTTCATCCTGACAAACCCGAATTCACGTGCAGACGGAAACGCATTCTTCGACTGACGATGCTGAAAACACTGAGGCAGTTTCGTTTCACTTCACAACCGGAATTGTTTTCATTCCACGCCCCCACAAGTGCTTCCGGCACCATCGAAAAGTTTGTTTTTCGCTGCTTGACCTTGCCTAGGCTGTCAACATTTAACGAAAACGCTTTCCACTCATGCGCGGAATAAACAACCAGAAATTAATCAGGACCTCACGTTGGCTGGAAAATTTCTCTCGTGACATACCAACAACACAAACGCATGTGCCGGAAGATCACGTGATCTTTTGAGTGAAATTATCTCACGTCACATGGATCATAGGGTTATCAAAAAGATGGTACTAAAAACCATTGTAGTCAAAAGTATATTACTGAGATAAACTACTCATAAGGTTGCTGAAAGCTCTTCGACAGCCCACCAACCACTTTGCTCTTTTTCGGCCCCTACTACATGAGGTTGAGGGAAACTCAGGGACTACGTTTAAGCGGTAGCCCCCAAAAAGGGGCAAAGCCAGTCATGAGATGTCGAAAGCTTTTCAGCAGCCTTAGGAGTAGTGGTCTGCCAAGAGAGTGTACTGCGATATACCGGCAAGGACAACGCAGTCTGTATACAACATATTCAGTTGAAGAAAGCTGTCATAAACGAGGAATTCATCTGGTGTTCACTGGTGTTCAGTGAGTATGCCCTACTGTGGGTAGGGGTCACATAGACGACATATTGGTTACTTGTAATGCACTACTCATAAGGTTGCTGAAAACTCCTCGACAGCCCACGACCGGTTTCGCCCTTCTTGGGGCTCATCGGGTGGACGCAGTCCCCGAGTTTCTGTCAACCTTATGCTCTACATATTGCTTCACTCTTCCTGACAGTTTCTCAGAGGAGAAAAATTCTCTGAAAGGTGGTCGGACACAAATTCAGTTGCTGACTAAGTATCTCACGTCACATGGATCATAGGGTTATCAAAAAGATGGTACTAAAAACCATTGTAGTCAAAAGTATATTACTGAGATAAACTACTCATAAGGTTGCTGAAAGCTCTTCGACAGCCCACCACAGGTTTTGCTCTTTTTCGGCCCCTACTACATGAGGTTGAGGGAAACTCAGGGACTACGTTTAAGCGGTAGCCCCCAAAAAGGGGCAAAGCCAGTCATGAGATGTCGAAAGCTTTTCAGCAGCCTTAGGAGTAGTGGTCTGCCAAGAGAGTGTACTGCGATATACCGGCAAGGACAACGCAGTCTGTATGCAACATATTCGGTTGAACAAAGCTGTCATAAACGAGGAATTCATCTGGTGTTCACTGGTGTTCAGTGAGTATGCCCTACTGTGGGTAGGGTCACATAGACGACATATTGGTTACTTGTAATGCACTACTCATAAGGTTGCTGAAAACTCCTCGACAGCCCACGACCGGTTTCGCCCTTCTTGGGGCTCATCGGGTGGACGCAGTCCCCGAGTTTCTGTCAACCTTATGCTCTACATATTGCTTCACTCTTCCTGACAGTTTCTCAGAGGAGAAAAATTCTCTGAAAGGTGGTCGGACACAAATTCAGTTGCTGACTAAGCTAGGGTACTGTGTGTAGTTTAACGTTCATCGTCGTATGCTATGCACATACTACTAGTGTTTCGTCACATTGGTGTTTAATGAGATCTTCCGACAGCTTGATAAATCGGTCCTCTCCAAGTATGGATTCTGAATGTAGTGCAAAACACGTAGTGCTCAAACCATGTTCGCTTGGACGGGAGGAAGAATCTATTGAACTCGTCGCGCCGTGATTCTTGCGATGTTCTTACTTTTTGCCAAACCTGGTCACTGAACTCGTTGTTTGGGTAAAATGAGTACGAAAACATCGTTATGCCCCACAGTCAGTCGAAACCCATTGAAGTGAGCCTAGATAGTGAACAAAATGGAATAACTCTTCCAAGTTGTTGCTTTTCCCACCGGAATACAAAGATGAACGCTGGGAGACATTAGTGGTATCTTGTTCTGGAACCGTGGGCCATCATGTGCTCAATCTAAAGAGAAGTTACAAGTATTCAAACACTGACCGAGCTGCCCAAAGAGTAAACTGGTCGACGCGGCTTCCGAGGCATCGGTCGAGGAACGAATCGTGGCCACTGCTGTGAAAACTACTCTCTAACTTTTGCGAATGCATGAAACTATGGGTCGGTCAAATTCAGTATTAGGCTCTACAGGAAAACATGTTTTGGTTCGCTGTTGATCGGGTGACAGGTAGCTTGAATATCTTTCTTCACCCCAGGAGAATTTAAGCCGAGCGCATTTATGTAGCTTCTAGTGTCGTGATTGGCTGTTTGATAACTGGCTTACGCACAATTTGATTGGTTCGCCGTGAAGCTATTTTGCGTTCTGGTCTGATTTTCACGCATTATATTGGTTCAGAAAACAAGGACGATCCGCGTCAAATGTGTTCAGTCAAACTGATCACTTCATGTCTGGAAATGAATTGGCGCATCTAGACATCAATGGCTCGATATCCTCTGGCAGCGAAAGTATCTGACAAAAACTATTCGATAGCACAAGGACTCATTCATTATGACTTTCTGTTCAGATCACTGTGAGGGAACAATGGTGTTGCGGACCGCCTTTGGTCCGTACTTTTCTTGAAGGAAAACTAGTCATAAGTTGTGGAGAGATCCTGCGCAGCCCGTAATCGTTTCGTCCTCATCAGTTAGGCGCAGTCACCGGGTTTCCGTCAACCTCATGAGGGGTGTTACTTCAATAAACTGTACTGCATAGAAAAATTCCGAGCGATTCGCGTTATTTTGGTCACATACCGTCCAAGCACCTCCGAGGTCCGATTATTGAATTGCCCCCTGTTGAAGTGGACAAATTTAACTGGCGGCACAATTCTCAATTTAACGTAGTGGTTAACCGGTCATTGGTTCCTTACCACGTGGATTGTGAATCAATAATTCGTAGCGAACCAAAACTGTCATGTGGAGGAATAATGGTTGCGTAATCAGAATGGTAAACAAACACTGTTCACACATCCATCCGCCGCCCGAGGAAAACGTACAATGTGATCTCCAACCGTAGGCGGATTTAGGGATACGGGAGGAATAGATTTCCCCATTTTATGTAAGCATTTGTCTTGCTTTGTTTTGTCCGATCTTGGGGGCAAACCAGTTACTTAGTTTGAAACAACTGAATAGACACCACGTCATTTTAACACAACAAACGCGTGGGCTCATAACTGATTGCACCCATGTTGCAAAGATCAACTTTTTGTTTGCGGTACATCATTGAAACCCGGTAGAATTTAGTGGTCCAGACATTCTCATTTTCACCAGCGGCAAACAGACACTTGTTTCAGACCCAAACATTTTAATCAAATCAACTAGTAATATTTCAGCCATAAAGGTGGGTAAAATCATCAATCATCCAATCAACAAAGTGCTATTGATTTTCCTTCCCTTGTTTAAATCAAGCTCTAGTTGGGATTTCCATTCAAATGCTTAAATCCTAATCCTGATTTTCAAAGAAGTCTAAATGGATTCCTCTCCTTTAATCCTCCTGAGTGGTTTTCATCTTGTTTTCAAATGGATAAGAACCAAAGTATTATTGAAAGTGGTTGAACAACTTCCGTTTCGAATCACACGCGTCACGTTTAATATAACGCGAGGAAATTATCTAGCGAAGTCGGTGATTTAGCTCTTATCGGACGGACGACTTCTGTACACGATTTCCCTACCGTGATCGGACACTCTATTCGTGTCAGCTTATTCTACTTGTATTGCCCGCCCGTACTGTTTGTGCACAGTTGAGTATTGGTTTTATCTTCTTCAGAAGCCCCTTTCGAATAGCTTTCTCCTGCACTCTAATTTCTTTGTGTAAGTCTTAGTAAACCGACACAACTCTTCTGGAAACGACGCTCCAAGATTATTCTCACCTGCAACTTGCTGAAATACCTGGCCGACATCTCATGTATCTCTTGGGTAATAACGAGGTACTTTCGTACACCGGAACTTCGGGATTATGGAAACCTCCCCTGTTGGCTCGACTCAAGACTTCATTTTCGTTCACTCACCAGGCGTCCTTGATGACCGAACATCACATCATTTGGACGGAAGTGTCACGTGAAAGACACGAACCAAAACGATGGCATGCCGTGATTGGTCAGAATACCAGCCAATCCGGATCGAGCATCTTTGACTCGACGCTTCGCGCTCCCTCACGAAGATTCTAGCAAGACCTCGTGCAACCCTCCGTGATTACCCTATAAATGCAGCTGTAATAATTTTCCTTTGTCTCCATAAGGGGATGTGTAGAGCTACCGTGCGATTTGATATACCATAGTGGGCGGAGCAGGAAGCCAAGGGACCGATACAGAGTTGCACTACCGTTCAGCAAGACACAACACAACGGCTTTCTTGAACCAATTGGCTCTACAATCTAACCTTCTGTGTCCTATACCTGTTTCTTTGTAGAAAATCTCGATGTCAATCATGCTAATGATATAAATTCTGCTCTAATCAATGGAAGGTGGGAGAAAATCAATCTTTGCACTGGGGTGATCCAGTTTCCAGTCTTGGGATACATGGAAATCAGATGAATCATGGAAAAATCTCTCACATCTGACGGGGGGACTTGTTCACCAGCCGTCAATAAAGGGATTATCTTCGACGCCCCTTAATGACTGTGTCACCATCCAAAACTGCGGCTGCTTTCACGGAAAACCAATACTATTTTTACCGCGATGTATCGATTTTCGCAGTGACTTCTGCAGATTTTTCTTGTGTATCGTTCCTTATACAGGACTGCAGTAAGTGTTGGTAGCTAACCATTTTTCCCGGGGCTTGGAAACTAAATTGTCGGATGACTAACGGAACACCTGTCGGCTTATTCGGTAACCACGAAGTGATATGGGTGTAAGCAAAATTCTCTTGGTTGAAACTCAGGCTTACCTCTTCAGCAAAAACGCACACGAATCATCAGAAGCGACTGCAGGTTGTGTCAACGGTCTTCGAACAAGGCAGGTGACTCGACTGTGACCGACCTCAGCGATTTATCTGATTGTCACTTATTTCTCGGTTTCACCCTCGGACTTGAAAAATCCTTATATCTGTGCCAGTCTGATGAGGTTTCTGATCGCAAGTAATGTCCTCCATCTAGTTTATAATAGTTTGTTTTATTCAACTGGACAGTCCGAGTGTATCAGGAAGGCCAGATTCCTGAAAGCAACCTCAGAACACCCGGAAGCTACTGCTCCACCAAAATCTCAACAGGAAAGCCGCCAAGCATCCAGGCCAGTCAATCATTCAGTTAATTCTGCAAAAGCTGATGGGTGTTCATGCATGCCACAGCGGCACGACCGAATGTGATCTGCGTTCTGGCATTTCACAGAAGCACGATCGATGTTGAGAATGTTCACTAACGCCTATCAGACAGCCTGGATTCCCTTTAAATAGCGTGGGGCCGTTGTAGTCTTTGCTCTCGCACTCGCTTGTTTGGAATATAGCGGTTGTGTTCCCTTCTGTGAGTCTTTTTTCTCCGGCACTAGGCACTGGAACGGGTTAGCAGCAGATACCACAGGTCGGCAAATCAGCAGATATAACAGAGTATGTGGATAGTCACCGGTTTCACCATTGACAACTTGCATGTTGCAAGATGAACCGACGGAAGAAAGCGTCAATCACCATCGCAAGTGGTTGTGTGTCATGTGTACTTCGCCAGCTTCATGTGTCACCGCAGGTTTTGAAACAGATTTTGAGCAAAGTTCACATCACGCAATTAACCGCCCATGGGAGCGGCATGCAGCCACTGTTGCTGTAAAATCGCATATAGTTTCTTATGTGAACAAGTTTTGTAAACAATAAAACTTTGGAGGTCTGTTGTATCATTGATCAACTTCTTCGAGCGGCGGGGTATCCTCCGATGTTCGCCTACTAGCAAGCTCTTTCTCTTGACGTGAACAGTGATGTGTTTCGTGAAAAAATCTTTTTGGTGGATTGTTGGTGTTGAAGTACAAATCGGTAAGGGGAAAGGGCAACCTCCAGTGCGATTCAACTAGGTAAACCGTATGGATGAGTGCCGCTGGACCATATTGCGAATTACCTGAGAGAGTTGAAAATAGGAGGTGATCCTAGAGGTCATGCAGGTGTTGCGGCGTCACACAGTGGCACGCTTGTGAGCAACATCGGAGATATGCAGTCTCGAATTTTTGCATAGACTGGCGAATGGCCAGCTGTCGACTGCTCCTGTCTAGGACTTGAAGGCCCGGACACAGAGTGTCCCAAACTTGACTACCGAAGGAAAGCCGAGTCCTTGTCCAAACTCGTCTAACTTAGCCAGTCCTAGTGGGCATCAAACAGGCCATTTAAAAAAAACGCTTGTTCACCATCGATCAAGCGTCACTGAGTCATCTAAGTCAGCCGATTTTTCAGTGTTCTTCAGGGTTTCATTGCTTGCCTGTGTGGACAACTGGAAAGCTTGGTGTATTGGTGATTGGTCATTCGCATTTAGTTGCATACTTCATTAAAACCTTTCATTCTTGAAAACTCTTCAGTCCAGTTTCATTCAACCAAAATGATGCAATTCATTCCACCGCGTTTTCCGGAACACCGTGGGTTCGGTCTGGACACGAAAATCAACAGCCAGCCCTCTGTTGATTTGTATTTGACGGAGAAACAACTCCTTAAAATGAGCTTGGCGGAAAAACGTGCCTTGAGTCGGATAAACTCGTGACAAACTGTGCTCTGGATAGCCAAGTGTTTAAAACACGGATTTCGTTCTTCTCAATTACTTGACTCATTTCCAGCCATCAAATCTGGTCCAAGCGGTTTCTTATAACGAGAGGTTCCCTATTCAGGGAAACGATCAAATCCTGGATGTCATGTGCCAACCAGGTGGCCCTAGAAGAAGTCAGTGAATGTTATAGGGAATCTGTACTGCTTTTTGTATTCCACATGCTTTTCTTATGTTGTTTGTTCTTGAAATTTGACTCTTTCGTAACGGAAAGCAGACAAGGTAAACTACTAATTCTTTCGAGAAATCTCATTAATTCTGGGTGTTGTATGGCCCTGAAAGCAGTCTGATGTGAATAGGGATTCACTGTTCTGCTCTTCTTTAAACTGCCTAATCAATCAGCGAATATGAACTCATTTGCAAACTAATTTGGTTTATTCGAGATGCTCACCTGGAACCCAACTGAATCTCTCGTCTGTGATGTTTCCAGGCAACTGAATGTGCTGCACCAGGCCGCCTCATGTTTCACTCGCTACGATATTCGACATATCGCGATACATGTATATTTGCAATGCACTACTCATTAGGTTGCTGAAAATTCGTGGACAGCCCACGACCGGTTTCACCCTTTTTGGGGCTCATCAGGTAGGCGCAGTCCCCGAGTTTCCGTCAGCTTGAAACCAACATGCACGAAATTAGCAAATATACACTCATTCGCAAACAAATTTGGTTTTCCGAGACACTCACCTGGAACCCAGCTAAATC